GGGGGCACACAGGTACAGGATCACGCTCCAAACCTCGCCTGTGACGCACACGGCCCCGGCGAGAGCAACCCTTTGCTGCTTTAGGCGCAAAATCACGGCGTCACCTAAATATCAATGGAAGTAATTCTAGCATATTTATGCATTTACATTTGAGTGGTATGCAAAGATAAAAGTTGTACTTGATTGTTGTACGTAAAATAGTAGAATATTATTAGATCTTTTAACCAATTTTAGTAGGTGCCACCAAATGAACGAAAATGTCTGTCCCTTAGCACCGGACGCTAAGTCGTCCCTTAGTGCCGGACAGTAAACATATTGATATTTCTTGTGAGAATTTACGTAATTTATTCCAATTATTTAATTTTGTTCTGTATGACTAACACGGTCACTACATACCCCCATTCTTCGTATTTCCTAGTCAAAGAATGAAAATCTTATGATGAATGCTCCAGCTGAGAGCATCGGTGTGGCCAGGCCAAAAGGGTAGATAAATAGTGATTTTTTTTGCAATATCTAAGAATATTCGTCAAAGACAGGTGCAGACATTCCAGAGTGTGGAGATGGCTACATATGTGATCAATGCAGGTTATTTTGAAATGTCCGGTACTAGGTGCCACTGTTTAAAATCATATTTTTTTATACCAAAGTTTAATTGATAGTATTAATTATTTTTTAGCAAAGATTGCGGTTTTGTTAATTTAGTTTGATTTCTAATTTGTTATCAAACATAAATCATAATTTAATAAACATTTCGTAAAATATTTTTTGATTTATTTTAAATAACCTTAGGTGTCCGCCACTAGAGGACTTCCCCCTAGTTGTCCTTGGAAAAAAATTCTGTTCACATTTGAACTCCAAATGGGCAATGTATGAGAATTATTTATTGTGGGAATACGTGAGAACAGGACCACTTTCGTCAAAATAATTTATTTTTTTAAAGATCATGCAAACAAAAACCTTATTCCTACATATTTACACTTTTTTGCTTTGAATCTGTACAACACTCGAATCCGCTCGGACGAGGACAAAATGTTTTATCAGATTTAGACCAGTTGTCGAGGCAGAATTCATCTGCGCCGTCGTAGTCACAAAGAAAATGCATGTCACGTGTCTGCTCCATAGGACTTGGTTTCCGGCATTCTGATAGGCGAGCATCACTCTTAATTTTTTTAATTTGCTGGAAACTTGCATTTCTAAAGGCATTGTTAGGTTGTGCTTCTTCCCAAACAGCATAGTTGTCTAAGCCGTTGTGCAACTGGTTGCATGTAAAGCATCTCGGTTGCTCTATGGTATCGGTTTTAGATATACAACAGCGAGGACTCTTGCGTGGATACTTCTTCTGCCTAAAACAAAATAAGATGGATGTAGCAGGATATGCTTGGTATATATACAACACCAAATTACCTACCAATTCCCTTTACCAAAACCTGCACATCCACCATAATCTGAAGTTGGTCTTGCATATCCATCCTGGTTGCAATTCATCTTTCTTGGACGAACGCCACCATACATCGGTCGGCCATGGGGGCAAAAATGATTTTCCTCGTTAATTGCACCCAAATGATTACAACCAGAAGCACCATCTAAATCATGTCGAAAATAATTGGTATTCGTGCGCATGTCATGTTTGTTCTCGAAAGACACATGTCTAGAGTCGGCATCGGCTTCTGGCAGCAATTCCAGGAGCAATTGTTGTTGGCAAAGTTTTGTTCGAAGTTGTGTTGCATGTCGTCTCTAATTTGGGAAACTCTTGAGCAATCCGAGATTGTATCCTGGTTTTGTCGGAGATTTGAAAAATTGCGTCTTTCTTGAATTGGGTCTGAGCAGATGTCTGGATATTTGCATGGATAATCGGGCATGGGTGGTGGGATTTGATTAAGATTGCAGATACGATGACAATTCTGCATTTTTTTTATTTTTTACGTATTATTCATGCAAGAAATCAGTACATCTAATTTCTTGCAAAATTTTCAATTAATATCTCAAGGTTTCCTTAGATTTTTAATCGTCCTTTTATTTTTTTACTATTTTTATAGTTTATTTAATCATCTTATTTTTTCTGTCGTTTCACACATAACCTAAAAACACAACAAAACAATATAAATGGCTGCCTGTTCGTATAGTTACGTTACAATGGCGGAAAATTAACGTCAATGTTACACATAAAAAATGTTACGTTGATGCAACATTAACTCAACATTGTTCTTAACACGATTTTGATTGGTTTAGGTCGTGTATAGTCACAAATAAGAAACATTTAAGTCACATCATTACGTAACATTGTTTTCAAGTGATTTAAAAAAGCAAAACATAACTCTCTCGATGAAGAAATGAAACTCAACTAAATTTATTTAATATTCATATCATATTATATTTAATATTATTTCATGGAATAAATTAGTTTTTAAAAACGTATTTGACATTTGGAAAAAAATCCGTTTAAAAAAACATCAAATTTTTAACATTTAATTGTTATTACTAAATATATTACTATTAGTAAATAAATTATTCATCTGCAAACCTCAATTTTTCTGATCCATAATTTATTACAAATCGATGTCTTCATTTATTAATTAATTTTGAATTTTTCAGTACATTTTTTCATTATTTTTTATAAAAAATTGACAAATGGTCGTCAGTCAATTATTTTTATAACCCCATTTGGACGGAAAAACTTTTGTTTGAAAATAAAATAATAAACTAGTGGTGTATGACATCGTGCCTTGTGCCTTGAGACAAATTTTCGAAACTTTCCGTACCGAATTAAAATCTTGTAAATATGAATTATTTTCGATATTCAAAAAAAAATTTGGAAGTTAAAAAAAAAATTGATTTTTTTTTCTTTTCCCAAAAACAATCGTTTCGTCAACCCAAGCGGAATATTTTTTGAATCTTTCAAATCGGATGCTTAGTTTACTCAAAAACTGCCATTTTTTGCACAGTTTGCTCCGTGTCTCCGAAACGGCTAGACCTGTCTCTGCCAAAAACTAATCAACACTTCTCCCAATAATTACAAATTCAAAGTTTTTTAGATCATTCTAAACGGATACTCCGTTCTCTCAAAAACTCGATATTTATTTTCTGCATTCTTTGCTCCGTATCTCCGTAACGGCTGGACCTGCCTTTGCCAAAAACTAATCAGCACATATCCCTATCAATAGGAATCGAATGTTTTTAAATCGGTTAATCCATGCGCCCGAAAACGTGGACGAAAAATTTAATCCATACATACATACACGCACACATCCATTTTTTCTGAAGTATGCCAGAATGTTTAGAAGCCTCTGAAACTTGAAGATATGTAAAAATTTCCATTTTCGACTAACTCGTATAGCCATAATGTGCAAAACATTCTGGACGAATGCTTTAGAGCCAAGTAAATATCAAAGATGGTAATTTTATATTTTTTATATAATTTGGAAATAATTTTACAATATTTTTTATGATTATAAAAATTAAAAAAAGTTAAGAATTTTGCCTTTTGGAGTTTAAGCGATTCTAATCAGAACCTATGGCGAAGCATCTGTCCGTTCTGTGGTGTATCGTATGTAGCTACTGATTACAGTTGACGTCCACACTTAAATAAAATATACTTTTAAAACCCGCATTGGATTAAAAGAAATGTGTTAAAGAAATTAATTAATTAGTTTTATTTATACAATTACAGATATTATAAGTATGTTTGAAAAACATCAATTGGAAATTGCAGTGATTAATTTTTACTGAAAGCAAAATAAACAGTGGAATATTTTATCTAAATAGCTGAATTGCAATTGTTATTAATTATTTATGTACTCGTATATGTATCGGGAAGTTAATGCAACTACTTACTTACTACTTACAACTAGTTATTTTTTTAAATTGCAAAAATTATTTTGAAACTTTTAATGTTGGTACGCGTCGGCGCCTTATTGGACTGCTTGACCATAGATAATAATTTTGCCCGCCAAATTTTGTACATTGATATCTCGTTTAAAAGCTGTTGATGTTTATTATTAAAATTATTAATTTAATATTAATAAATACATATGGCATAATAAATAAACGCAATACATTCAGCAGTTTTTCAGAACTTTTTTTTATCAATTATTGAATAGTTATAAAAAACGCGCCAAATGGTGTGAATTTTGCTGAAGTGATTGAGGTTGCAATGGTGGAAACAAAAAGTTATGAAAAGAAGAGTAAGTAGACAGTGTTTGTAGATTAGATGAATTTTTAAAAAATAATAAGATATTATTTTTATCTTTTTGTTAAAAGGTTTCTGGAGAGTGCTATTACATTAAAGTGAACCAAAAAAAAGTCAGTGAAGGAAAAATCTAAACAAACAGTTAATTGTTTGTACAAATTCTTGTAAAGGAGGCAATATCATAGGAAATCCTAAATTATAAAACTATCTGTAAATATTACAAGAAGCTCTCTAGAAAAGTTTAAAGTTGTTTCTATTATATATAGAAATCAGTATATAGAATTTATCGATGAGCCATTAGGTATTATAAATCATTCTATAAATTTGATATTTCAGCTGATTATAAACTAGAATCTTGTCCAGAGTAGATGTGTCTTACAAGGAGCATCTTAAAAAGGTATAAAATCAATTCTATTATATGAAATAAAATACATCTGAAGAACCAAGGTTGTTATTGAATGATATAGAATATATCAATGCGCCATTGGATGTTATAAATCATTGTATAAAGCAAGAATTTGATGTTTCAGCTGATGTTGAACCAGAATCGTCCCTAGAATAGCTGTGAACACCTTAAAAAGGTATAAAGTTGTTATTATTATATAAAGTCTGTATATAAAATACATCTCAAGATCCAAAGTTGTTATCGAATGATATAGAATATATTGATGAGCCATTGAATGTTACAAATCATTCTATGAAGCAATAATTTGATATTTCAGCTGATTTTAAACCAGAATCTTGTCTAGAGTAGCTGTGTCTTACAAGGAGCACCTTAAAAAAGTTTAAAATCAATAAAGTGAATGCATAAAATATGTCTGAAAAAACACAGTTTGAATCACTGGAATCTTCAACCAATGTTGCAAATCATTCTACAAACCAAGAATCCAATATTTCATCTGATATGAAACAAGTATCTTCTCCCAAAGATAATACACCATGCTTAAAACTCTTTATGAAGTCTGGTATAGCATTAGAAAAAGGAACTAAACATGATTATATATGTAAAAGATGCAAACAGTCTTTCGATAGTCTTTTTACACTAGTCCAGCATTTAACAACGCATTCTGAGAAGGCATTAAAAAACAAAAATGCTGGTAAGGTACCTATAAGACCTTTAAATAAAATCCAAAATCAAAGAAACAAAACATTCGGTCAACCAGCAAAAACAAACACCGGTATGCCTCTTTTCACATGTGAATTATGCTCTAAATCCTTCTCCTACTTGACCAGTTTAAAAAGACATGTAGCTGGTCACACCAGACCACGTCCTCCCCCTTACAAGACATATCAGAAACTCTTAATAATATCTGCACAACATTCTGAAGCAAGATGGTATACATGTGAAACATGTGGTAAACAATTTAGATTTTTGCATGAATTAGAAAAACATCAGCTTTTCCAAACCACACCTTTTAAATGCTACGTATGCAATAAAACTTTTTCTCATATAAGTGATTTCAGGCAACATATGTTTCTTCATTCCTATACACGTCCTTTTAAATGTGACACTTGTGGTAGGGGCTTCAGAAAGTCAGAAGGACTAAGAAAGCATTCAAAGGTACATGCTGGGGTCCATATTTTCAAATGTGAGACTTGCGGTAGGGGCTATGGAACATCAAAGGGACTGACAGAGCATTCGAAGATGCATGCTGAGAACCTTCCTTTCAAATGTGAGACTTGCAGTAAAGGCTTTGAACAACCAGAAGCTCTAAATAATCATATAAAGAGGCATGCTAAGTACCGTCGTTTTATTTGTGAGACTTGTGGTAAGACTTTTATACAAAAGAAGACTCTCATAAGACACCAGGAGATACATAAAAAAGAAACTGTTGTTTGAGATATTATGTATCGTGGAAAACATACTGGTTATGTTTTAATTAATCAAATGTAATCTAATCTTGATGAATTGAATTGATAATTAGTAATAACTGTAAATATTTTTTAGTAAATAAACATTTTTTATTATTACATTATATTCAAGAGTTGTTTTGTTATTGATATTATTTCGATTTGCTGATTTGTTGCTTTCTAGACGTTACAAGTCATTATGAATCTTCTTGCACATAGACTCTCAGTTATAAAACAAACTGGTGAAACTAGTGGTGTATGGCATTATGTCTTAACCATAATAAAATATTCGATAAATTAAAATTAGTAAAAAATTTTTTTTTTGAAAATCTATTGTTTTTTTTCCAAAACAGGTCAGCCCAAGTAGAAAGTTTTTTGAATCATTCAAATCAGATGCTTATTTCTATCAAAAACTGCCATTTATTGAACTTTTAGCTGCATATCTCCGAAACGCCTAGACCTGCCTTTGCTAAAATCTAATCACCACTTCTCCCTACCAATACAAATTGAATATTTTTGAATCATTCGAATCGGATGCTCCGTTCTCTCAATAACTCGATTTCTATTTTCTGCACTCTTGGCTTCGTATCTCCATAACGGCTATACCTGTCTTTGCCAAAAACTAATCACCACTTCTCCCCATCAATAGTAATCGAATGATTTTTGAATTATTCAAATCGGTTGATACGTGCGCCCGAAAACGTGGGCGAAAAAATACGGACACACAAAACACACACACACATAATTTTTTTCTGAGGTATGCCAAAACGTTCAGAAACCTCTGAAACGTGAAAAAATGCAAAAATTTTCATTTTCGATTTTCGTCCTATTACTATAAATAACCCTACGGGAAGTTAAAAAGTTCAAGATTTTCAAAATATTTCAAAGTATAAAAATCAAATTTTTCAAAAATGTCAATTTTTTCAAAATTTAAAAAACTCAAAAAACGTTTTTTTTTTCAGAGCTCTAAAAGAAAATGGAATATTTTTTAAAAATCTTAATTTTTGGTACAGGAAGTTCCAGCAATTTGCCTTAAGGCACAATGCAATGCACCACTAATTTTAATATTAAAATAGAATAAATAAAAAAAAGACATTCAGAGGTATAGTATAGCATTCAAACATCTTAGCATAGATATGAACCATCGTAATCGACCTGAACATAGCCTTCAATTCAATTTATAATTTCTCAATTTCTAGTTTTTGATATTATTAAGTTAGATTTGCTAATTTGTTGTTTTTTAGAAGTCATTCTGAATCTTATTGCACATAGGCTCATAGTTATAAAACAAACATTATTTGAATTTTAAAATGAAACTAGTGGTGTATAGCATCGTGCCTTAAGGCAAATTGCTGGAACTTGGAATTGTACCATAATAAAATATTCAAATTGTTTAAAGCGTTCAATCGCCTTAGCAAAGATATGAACCATAAAAGTTGTCATCGTAACCGATCTGAACATAGCCTTCAATTTAATTCATAATTTATAATTATTATATTATATTATTATAATTTATAATTTCTCAAATTATAGTTTTTGTTATCATTAAGTTTGATTTGCTAATTTGTTGTTTTCTATATGTTTCAAGTCATAATGAATCTTATTGCACATAGACTCATAGTTATAAAACAAACAGTATTTTAATATTAAAATGGAACTAGTGGTTTATACCTTCGTGCCTTAAAGCAAATTGCTGGAACTTCCATAATGAAATATTCGAATTGTTTAAAGCGTCCAATCGCCTTAGCATAGATATGAACCATAAAAGCTGTCATCGTAACCGACCTGAACATAGCCTTCAATTTAATTCATAATTTATAATTATTATATTATATTATTATAATTTATAATTTCTCAATTTATAGTTTTTGTTATTATTAAGTTTGAGTTTACTAATTTGTTGTTTTCTAGACGTTTCAAGTCATTCTGAAACTTATTGCACATAAACTCATAGTTATAAAACAAACAGTATTTTAATATTAAAATGGAACTAGTGGTATATAGCATCGTGCCTTAAGGCAAATTGCTGGAACTTCTAGTACCATAATGAAATATTTGAATTATTTAAAGTGTTCAATCACCTTAGCATAGATATGAACCATAAAAGCTGTCATCGTAACCGACCTGAACATAGCCTTCAATTTAATTCATAATTTATAATTATTAAATTATATTATTATAATTTATAATTTATCAATTTATAGTTTTTGTTATTATTAAGTCTGATTTGCTAATTTGTTGTTTTCTATATGTTTCAGGTCATAATGATTCTTATTGAACATAGACTCATAGTCATAAAACAAAAAGTATTTTAATTTTAAAATGGAACTAGTGGTGTATGGAACTTCCATAATGAAATATTCGAATCGTTTAAAGCATTAAATCACCTTAGCCATAAAAGCTGTAAACATAACCGACCAGAACATAGCCTTCAATTTAATTTATGATTTATAAATATTATATTATTTTATTATTATTTACAATTTCTCTCCATCTGTCTGAATTTGATAGTATACTCAAATATAATCCTAAAATTCCTTTCTCGTCCTTCAATTGGCAAAGCGGCTTCTATGCAAATGCTCGAACACCATTTTCGCTCTTCAAGAAAAAAAACTTAAATAAATCTTCTATTGTTTTAAATTTATTATATAAATAAATAATATTTACTTCTTCCTCAGCCTGTAACGCCGCATACGTTCCGCAGCACTTTTATCCTTCTTCCTCGGGACCCCATTTAAGGCTGTTCTTTTCTCTCTCCGTGTTGCCTGTGCAGACTTTGCCTTTTTTCCCATAATCGCTAACTCGGAAGATTCTAGAATTAACATGACATATTCAGGAAATTTCCTAACAAATTCAGGCAATTTCCTGAATCTGATTCCTGACTTCTGAATACCTGACTCTGGAACATCTAACTCCTGAATAACAAAGTCCTGAATTACTGACTCCTGAATAACTGATTCCTGGATAACTGATTCTTGGATAACTGATTCCTGGATAACTGATTCCTGTTTTACTGATTCCTGTTCTACTGATTCCTGTTCTAGTGATTTCTGTTTTACTGATTTCTGTTTTACTGATTCCTGTTTTACTGATTTTTGTTTTATTGATTTTGCTGGAACCTCTGCTGGATGTCCCTCCCTCTGCTGTTTTTTCAGGAGAGCCCGTCGTGCCCTGAGTTCTCGAGATCGTTCTGTAGAAGTTTTCGCCCTAAATGGTGAAAGTATAGGATCAGTTTTAGGAGAAACTAGTGGTCTATGGAGGAATAGTGTTGTTTAAATAAGTTTTGTTGGAAATCTTTATAAATCAGCTAGTTTGTCAATTTATCGCATTGCTGTAGCAAGGTTCTTATCATTAAGAAAGACGGTTACCTAAAATCTGATATAAGAATCCACTAAATTTGGATTGGATGCTAAAGGACAGTCAAGCAATTTGCCGACATATTTTTATATCCATAGCTTCAACCAGGTTCTAATTGATCATGCATACAACTAGAAAGGAAATACACCATCTTGACCATTGAAGGACTTATTGTACGGGTCATCCTTTTAGCATCTGCTGATGTTGCAGATTTAGCAGCCTCTTTTATTTTGCTACCATCTCAATCTCTGATGATTCTAACAGTTGTTGCAGCCTAACCAAAACTATTTGTAATCGCTACAAGCCTTCTCACCATTTTTAAAACGTTGCAGGATATCGAATATTGTCTCAAGGGTGATGGATTTGTTAAAATTTTTAGTAAATCTACCAGCGGCAGTAGCCTTTCCATTTAATTGGGTAAAAATTAAATTTCTCTTCAAAAAAAGGAACAATGCACTGATAAGCAATTCATGGATCACTAATTGGAACAGAAAAGAAACCGCTTAGAAAAACGCCATCTATTCAAAAAATGAGCCAAGACTTGAACTCAAAACGCACGGTAAAAATTACTACAAATAGGTAAAAAAAGCACCCAAAGCAAAGTATGTATATCCATCTAGTTTCTTTCAAAAAATACCAAAAGATCAAACCTAGGCCATAAGCAAATCCAAAAAGTAATAATGAAATATTTACATTCATTTTTATTTTTTGTGGTTGGTTGTTGACCTTTCGTTCATTGTCTTTGAATCGTCAGAATCGGTTCAGCATTTCTTCGCTCTAGTACAAGGAGAAATAATCTAGTATTCCAAAATGATTAGGAGGTCCGGAACCTTAACTAAAAATTCTCTCTATCTATACAAA